TTCTCTCCCTCGCCTCTCTCGTTTTTTATACAAACGCAAGTGTATAAAGTGCGTTTGTGTTTGTATAAAGCGAGAGAAAATTGTATATACACATGCAAATACATATATCTTCGTCCTATACACTTATAATTATACAATACAAATATTTCCCTGCCCAGTTTTCTTTTGTCTTTCTCTCTTTCTCGTTTTATACATACACAGATTATACAATTGATCCAGATTATACAACTGCTTTCTTTTGTATATGTATAACAAAATATACATATTTATGTTTGCTATAGAGAGCAATTATGCAAACTTTGTTATAACATACAAATATGAATTTTGTGTTTGCTATATGTGAAAGTTGTTCTTGAATTAAGCGGGTTAAATTGGGTGAGTCAAGACCCAACCCGTTTTTAAGCCCATTGGAGCTCAATCCATTTGAGCCCAAAGTAAACTTGGGCGAGTCAGGACCCAACCCAATTTCTATTTTAACCCATTTTAATATCTTTAATTTAAACCCAACCCACCCCTTTGACATCCCTAAGCATATCTATTAGAGTTACATGAGTTCAACTGTCGGGCATGCAAATCCCAAGAAAAGAAGTTATAAGCTATAAATAGATAGAGCTGAAATAGTAACCTCCACGAACAACACGAAGGCTCACCTCAGCAACAAAATCCACGCAAACAAACTCGTCAACTAATAGTCTCACCCTCTACAACAATATCGAAATAAATATGCATGTAAGGAGTGAGTTATATATAAATATAACTCATTCACTAAGATCCTTGGTCCACTACTTTAATACCGCCCCTAGAACAAGTGTTAGAAAAAAACGTCTACACAACAAACACATAATGATAAGCACAAGAATATATTTCGTAATATAATGATCAATAAGTTCAAACAAATGTTCAAAAAGTACACTAAATGTCTCAAACTCAATCCACACTCAAAGCTTGTCATAAACGACAGTGAAGGAGATCGTCCTAGTACCCCGACAAGTCCACTCAGGATATATAATGTCATAAAGTATACTATGGCAGCATGTACGAGACCCCTAACATATTACGACAACATAGGTATTCCCCTAACATATTAAGGCAACTATGTATGTCCCTAGTAATTATATCACGATATTGAAGAAGGATATCCTACATTACACCACATAAAACTTATAAAAGAATATTCAGTATTCTTCACAAAATTAATCAAAGACCATTGATTCTGCCAAACACATGCTTGTCCCAACACATGGACCAGAAAGATAAAACATATTTTTAAAGTAGGTTTGAAAAGCAAACAGTAAAGCTTAAAATCTCACTTACCTTGCTAATGACAAATCACACAACCTTGCACGCGTACAACACCAAACAGCCTTCAATCATCAATGGCATTGATCTATACAAAAATATTGATTAATGATATCAATTACGCTAGTCGGATCAAGTCTCTATATCCATAACCTTCAAGTTTAAAACTAAAACTTTATATGTGACATCTTAAACTATAAATTAAAGATAAAATAAAATATGTAAAAAAATATATCCCAGCATCACTGTTTAAACATGATATCTTCAGTAAAGAATAAATTGCCAGAATAAAGTCTTCAAATATTGTCCAAAATTCGTTTCTAGTAGTATTAATTAATAAAACCACTGGTTAGATTTCTGCACTTAGGATCATTACCATAGCCATATATTTCTCTAATCATTATCCCATCATTACTTAATCATTTTTTTCTTAATATCATTACTTAATCATAATGGTTGCCTTCTCTTCTTTCTAGTTAAAAGTGGCAACAATTTAAAGCTTGGAATTACTTCTAAGTCGTGACTCGTGAACTCCCCCAAAATTCTTCTAAGAGGTTGTTGCCTTCCGTTAAAAGGTTAAGAAAAAAAAGGGAAAACTACATAAAAATGGAGACAATCGTGAACTATTTATCTAAATTAGATCCAATCCAAACTATTTATCATAAATGGATTCATGGCCCAAATTATTTATCCACTTAACCCATTTTCTCTTTTCTTATTTCACGTATGATGTCAACATGACATCAACATCACTACTATGAATTAATCTTCTGTGATACTCCGACAGTATATTGATACCATATATGTATCATATAAAACTGAGTTTAATCATTTGTGATACTCTGTCGGTATATTGATACCCTATCGGTATCATATAGGAAGAAACAATTAAGAGAAAATTATTAAAGTCACAATCTTATTTATAAAACTCTAAATTAGTAGAAAATATATTTTATATTTTTTTCTCATTTTGCAAATTGTATCTAAATGATGATTCTATTTTAAACTGTTTTTAAATTAAAATATTGATGAATTGAAACATACCTCAATGATACCACGACAATATGTAGAGATATCTTAATGATATCATGGATGTTTGAGTAATCTTATTGAAGGACTGAAGCAAACCTGAATGAAAACATTGTTTAGTTACTCATTGATATCACCAGAGTATATTATCCTTTGATGGTATCAAGGAGGAAGAAACAGTCCTTCAATGAAGACACTACTCAGTTACTCTCTTTGATACCATTAGAGTATATTTATGTATTGTAATATACTATGATGGTATCATAGAGGAAAAGAGGATGGGCGTTGACATCAGCATGATGTCAGGGTGTGAATATATATATATATATATATATATATATAGATGTCATTTTAAAATAAAAAAGTATGAAAGTAATTGAGCATTTAAGGGTTAATATTTCACTTTTTTGGGTATAAGTGATCTATTCCCAAATAATAACCCTACTCTCTATTCCTCAGGCAGAACGTGCTCAGTAACAAGAATAAGAGAATAGGCTTGGTCCACACCTTTTAATCCTCTTCATTATTATTATTAAATGAAAAATGGTCTAAAGCCCCCCCAAACTATACCTGAAATTCCAATTACACACTCCAACTTCACGGGTGTTTTATTACCCCCTGAACTGTATAAAATTGATATAATCTACTCCCTAAACGATTATGTGGCACAGTGAGTGTATCTCACTCTCTCAAAGAGAGTGAGGATCAAAACAAATAATAAAACTTTATTTTTAAATTTTATTTCATAAATATGTGTACTTTTAATTATTCTTTTTTCTTATTTATTTCCTTTCTTCTTCACAACAACATAAACCAAATCTCTCCACCACTCACCTTCTCTAAGCTTGGATTCACCATGGAATTTCATTATTCCTCTTGATTCTAGAATTTTGATTATTCAATTTGTGCATGAAATTAGGAAATTTTGAAAACCAACTCTTTATTAATATTATTAAAATTGTTAATCATCATGCCTAACCACATGGCCAAATGGGTTAGAAAATTATTATCTTGATTTTTAGTGCCCTAGTTTAATAATTTAAATTCAAGTTCAGAAAGAATTTTAGGTTGTCAACGAAACCCATATGTGATTTTGAAAATAGAAATGAAAAGATCCATTGTTATGTATCCATTACCTCAATTTGAAGAATTCGACAAATTCATCCATGAAAATAACTTGAGTATCAATCAAATAGTGGATGAAACGGTTAGGAATAAAATTCTCGCCAGATTTTACCTTTTAAATTGTTGTTGCGGTCATCGATGTGAAAACATGAAGCATATCGTCAACTCCTCCAAAACTTGAGTTTTTTTTTTATATATCAAAGGTTTAAGACTTGATAACATTAATGGTAGGAAGGAAGAAGTGAGTTTGGTTGATTGATAAACTTTTGATGTTTGCAAGGAAGATGAAAATGATGGAAAAAAGATTAATCAATAGCAAAAAACGAAAGATTATCAAAGATTTATAACTTTACCTTTCAATAGTAAATCTTGAAATTTTATTACCGCACATTTCATTACTGTAAGCTTAAAACTATCATAAATAAAACTTAAAATTTTCTCTTTAATGGAAGAAAAGGTTTCATCAAACAAATGTCAAGCAAAAAGAAAAAGAAAAGAAAAGAAGAAAGAAAAAGAAAAGAAGAAAGGGGTTGGAAAGAGAAGAAAAAAATATAAAAGGAAAATAGAATAAAGAAAGAGATAATAAATTTTTTATTAAAAAAATAATATATATATATATATATGACGTGGCAGGTGAGTGCATTCACTTTCTAACACAGATCTGGGTGTGACCTTTTAGGAGGCTATATATTCCATTTTTAAAATGTATAGGGGGGTAATAGGACCCCGTGAAGTATAAGTGTGTAGTTGAAAATCTGATAATAGATTAAGGGGGCATTTGACTGTTTTATTATATTAAAGGTTAAAATTACCAATTAACCTTTCATTAAAAAAATTTATTACTAAACTATCACTCATAAGTTTGAAAAATCATACTTCAAATAATATATGATTGTGTGTGTATTACATTGTCTCTTTTTAAAATAAATATTATCACTAGGATTGACATGTGGAAAACAAAAAAATGTGTGAGCAAAAAGAAACTATGTGGATGAAAAATTTGGGCCAGACAAGCCTCAGTGTGCGTATACATACATTTGGTTTAGTTATTATTGAGGCGTGTTTTCGAACTAATAAGTGATAGTTTAGATGTACTATTACTCACACACCCAATAATTTAGACAAACAATCAGATCTTCGAGAGTTATTTCCTTTGAGTTTGTGCTTCAAGTAATTTTCAAAGTCTTTCCATAAAGGAGACAACTTCTCAATAAATGGTACTAGTTGAAACTTTTCATTTATATTCATAGTTTCTGCAAGAAGATCATGAACAATCACTTGTTCCATCGACCATTTTAATTTCCAGAAATTTTGCAGCCACAAATTTCTTCAATATAATCCACCATCTTTTTGTTATTTTCAATATACTCTTTTCCTTGTATATTTATGCTCCAACATTCAATTTTGTATTTCTTCTCCAAGAAGGTACCATAACTCTTTAGAAGTAGTACAAACACTGAAGATGTTATACTAGTCATCTTCCAAGTCGTTGAGATTATAGTTCTTGCAAAAGAAATCTGAATATTTCCATGCGTCGATTGCATTTTTTTTTTTTGTTTTTTTTTTACAAATTGACAGAAACAAAATTTAGCAAATCGGTGAAATTTTTATATTCTCCAAATCGAATAAAAACGACTGGACCTACATAGTGAAGTTTTTATATTTTTCAAACTAAATACAAATGAATGAATTACTCAGTGAAGTAAATACAAATAGTTTTCTCCGATCCCGACTTGAGCTAATGGAAAAAAACACTCACTTCGATAAGATAATAAAATAATATATTTTCATAAAGATCCCTATATAATTAAATATATGGTCTCATTAATATTATAAATTAATAATTCTTTAAAAGTACAAATATATCTAAGACAATATGGTGAAATATGAATTTATTGTATTTTACTTTTGGTTACAATTTAAATCTAGTTGAAGCTCATCTTTAACTAAGATTCTTAGTGCATCCAAAAGTTTTGGTGTTGCCACGACTGCAAATCTTTTTTAGTGCATGTGAAATGATTTCTTTTGTACTCACACAATGTTTTACGTATTTAATTTGTCATTGTTGATTTTGTAAAACCTTTTAAATGAGAAGTCATTTTAGGATATGGTTTCAAGAAATTTCCTATGTTGCTTATATAGTTTATTCTCTCACAATCATACATTGAATGTATTTTTAGTAAAGATGCAATGAATAATATTTGCTTATTAAGAAACAATGAACATTATCTATAATGAATTCATTTTTACAATAAATCATTAAAGTTTTGAATTTATTTTACAATGAATTATTTAACAAAAAAGAAATATTACAATGAATCATACACATACATTGTACTTCATATATAATGAACTATTTTTTTTTATAAATTCAATAAATATAATACATAATTTAGATGTGAAAAATGTTATTCAAATCGCATCCTTTCTCTTAGTGTCTTTTTGAAAATACATTTTATTTTCCATTCCTCGTAAAATCAAACTAAATGTATATATAAGCCTGATAGTCTCAGACAGCACAAACCCAATAGCTTCCTAGTAAAAAATTCTTCCTTTCTTTTCTTCTATATATATATATTTTATTTTATTTTTTCTTCTTCCTTCTTCATGGATGCTCAATCCAACTCAAACTCTTGTTCATCATCAAATCTAAGAATCATTGTCCAGAACAACCCTTCAGAAGCCCAACTCTCTGAATTGGGCATCAATTTTTGGCCAAAGTGAGTACAAATTAGTTATCACTTGTTTTTGTTTTTGTTTCTGCTTCAATTATCGCATTATTAGTGTTGTTGTTACTATACTTTCTTCTATATCTTCATTTTGCATTATTTCATTGTTGTTACTATTTTCATTTTTGTATTTTCTTTTTCAAACTGCTTTGAAATATTTTTTGAGTTTGCGTACACTCTAACCTTCTCAGACTTCATCATATGTTTTTTTTAAAAAAACAGATGGGCTTGTTCACCAGGAATATACCAATTAAAATTTGATGCAGAAGAAACATGTTATTTGCTAAGAGGAAAAGTGAAAGTGTATCCAAAAAACACAAAAGAGATGGCACCAGTGGAGTTTGGAGCAGGGGACCTTGTCATTATTCCCAAAGGACTTTGTTGCACTTGGGATGTAACCCTTGCGGTTGATAAATACTACAAATTTCAGCCTTCCTAAAATCACCTTTGCTATTATTAGTATTATAAACTCATATAAGTAAATCCTAAGGTACTATAATTTTATCGTGTTATAACAAGCTGTCTGTTTTATTTTTCAAATGATCTGATAGTGATAAACATTTTTGTACACTATCAATGCATACATTGTGTTAGACTCTAATAATCTCTTAGTAGATATTCATTGCACTTAACAAGATCTCCTTTTTATAATATCTTGTATTACTATATGGATCCTTACATTTTCATTTTCAACATTCAAAACTATTCCCTTTTTTTTTACACTATTGATAAATTCAATTATTTCCCTAAATTGAATCTCGTTCAATAAATACGTATAATTTCATTAGACCACTCGACTAATCTCGACGTTCATTTGTGAATTGCTAATTTGACTTTCTAGTTCCATAATTTATTTCCTTCACCATAATTTTCAGAATAAAACGATCTTACTCACCGATGTATCGGTATCTAAAATCATGGTGTCAGCGAACTACTCAACATCAGTTTGTACACTAGAATTTGTTTGTGGAGAAGAAAAAAAAGTTTCGAAGTTGTGAAATTCAGAAAATTTGTTATTTGTTATTTAAAATTAAGAGGAAACCTCTCTATGTATAGACAACACAGAGTAGTGTGAACTTGTGCTTATCGTGCATTATCGGAATGGTCACAATCCTTTGGAAAAGTCAAAAGGCATAATCCTTCGTAAAAGTCACAACCTTACAGAAAAGTCGCAACTTTTTATAAAAATCACAATTGTTTAGAAAAGTCACAACCTTACAGAAAAGTCACAACTTTTCATAAAAATCACAACTCTTCATGAAAGTCACAACTATTCATAAAAGTCGCAACTCTTCAAAAAAGTCACAACTCTTTATTTTCCATTCACACATTTTAAAATCCAACATTTATTTATATAATATAATATATATATATATATATATAAGTTCAATAGTCTCACACAGAACAAACCCAATAGCTTCCTAGTAAAAGATTCTATCTTTAGTGTTCTAAAGGGTCACCCTAACTACTCTTCATAAAATTTTCTTTTCTTCTATATATCTTTTCTTTTCTTCTTCTTCATGGATGCTCAATCCAACTCAGACTCTTGTTCATCTTCAAATCTAAGAATCATTGTCCAGAACAACCCTTCAGAATCCCAACTCTCTGAATTGGGCATAAAATCTTGGCCAAAGTGAGTACAATTCGATTATCAATTGTGTTTGTTTCTGCTTCGATTATCGCATTATTTATTTTATTGTTGTTACTATACTTTCTTCTGTATGTTGTCTACTATTTTCCATTTCACATTATATCATTATTGTTACTACTTTCATTTATGTATATATTTCCTTTTTCAAACTGCTTTGAAACTCTAACCTTCTCAGACTTCATATGTGGAATTACACTGGTATGTTATTGTTGTATATGTTTGATTAAACAAAAGGATGATCAATCATGAGTTTTTTTATTTGTTTTGTTTGTGTTTAAATAGATGGGCTTGTTCACCAGGGAAATACCAATTAAAATTTGATGCAGAAGAAACATGTTATTTGCTAAGAGGAAAAGTGAAAGTGTATCCAAAGAATACAACAGAGATGTCACCAGTGGAGTTTGGAGCAGGGGATCTTGTCATTATTCCCAAAGGACTTTGTTGCACTTGGGATGTAACCCTTGCTGTTGATAAACACTACAAGTTTCATTCTTCCTAAAATCACCTTTGCAAACTCATAAGTAAATGTTAAGATACTAATGTTTTATCGTGTTATAACAAGTTGTCTGTCTTATTTTTTAAGTAATTTGATAGTGATAAACATATTTGTACACTATCAATATATACATGATGTTAAACTCTATTATTTCTTGGTTGAGATAATTTAACTTATAATTGTAATCTCTTAAGAGATATTTGTTTCGCTTAACAAGATCTTTTTTTTATAATATTTTGTATTACTATATTGATCCGTACATTTTCATTTTCAACATTCAAAACTATTCTTTTTTTATATTGTTGACAAATTCAACTATTTCCCTAGATTAAATCTAGTTCAATTCATAAATATGTATAATTTTATTTCCAAATGAAACCACTCGATCGATCTCATCCACTTGTGAATTGACTTGTTAATTCCACGGATCAAAGAGAAAATTCCATAATTTAATTACCTTCTGACACCATCTTAGTTCATTTTTTGATTTGTTAATTTTTAGCCATTAGTCAATTCATAATATTCCTTTCAAACTCAACTCCCATCTGTC